TAAATGTCTTTCTTTCACAAGATTTGCACTAAAAGCGCATGTTCTAATACTGTTAATTTTGCTGAAAAGATTTTATCGGTGTTATGTCTGGAGTTTATTTTCACTGATTTTTGATCAGTTGAATGTAAAATATAGGAAAAAAACAAAATATAATCACCACGTTTTATTTTTACTGAATCACACCCTAGAGCGAAAATAAATTTCAAGCAAAAATAAAGTTTTCTACAGTATTACAATGAATGATTCAGGGGATGGGATAATTAGGTCATTAAAAAAAATACACCTCTGCCCATTGAGGTCACGTTTCAAAAAATAAATTGTTCACTAATTTAATTAAAATGAAATAATTAAAAACACCAACCAGTACCTGTGATTAATTAATCTAAATCCTAGCTTCAATCATTATTACAATTTTTAGTTTAAAAACAACAAAAACTGCTTTTGAGGGACTGATGGACTGTGGAATGTGTTTTTGACCTGTTCGCTACTATCTATAATATTAAATGTAATTTATACTTCAGTAATATTTTTAGAATCTCTGTGATGTGTTTTCACTCAATTGAAAATGTCAGACATTAAAACCAGCATATCAATTGTTTCAAGAATGAAACCTTGCCGGCAGCCACAAATAATAATCAAACACTTCAGTAACAAAGTGATGTGGCTGTATATAATTAGAGTTATTTCCTTGTACACCCCAAGGTTATGTGTACATGTCCTGCCAACACAGATAACTATATTAGTATGTTGACAATTTTAAATTACATCTAAATGTCTCAATAAGTTTTTTGAACTTATTTCTGGCTTGTTTTGGTGCTCAAACAAGTTTTTCCCGAGCTGTTGACGAGATTGAGCACTTCGCAGCAGAGTTTACTTAACCAACGCCTTGAGGGTCAAACACGTCTCTGACGTTATCTGCCATGTTTGTCTTGAATAGCCTGGCGAAAGAGTGCACATTAACGAAACGCGGCTCTGCTCCGATGAACATACAAAAGGTGTTGACGACAATACACGATGATTATTTGAGAATGCTTTTCATGTGGGGAAAAAAATACTTGAAAACAATACCAACACCACTCCCGTGTTGTTGAACACAGCGGGGATTTTTTTTAAACAATAAATGGGCCGATGGTAGGGAAGATCCAAGTTCATTGAATAAGACGTATCTTGTTTGTTATGGGTCAACGAATGTTTTTTTGTTTTGTTTTTTTTTTGAAAACACATCGTGTCTCTTTAGCGCACCACATGGGCAAATGATGTTAGCGATTTTTTTAATATGAGAAAAATACAATTTAATTGGGGTCGCTATTCTAGAATGACCCTGACTTAGTAGCAGGGCAATGGATATGTTTGATCTGAATTGAAAATTATCGCCAAAGAGCTGCCTGCTTTAATTCACCGCGGCATGTGGTAGAAGCACAGGTCGGTTTACGAAGTTAACAAGTATAGTGTTTCGGATGGTGAAAATATCGTGTAGTCGCCGTGGGGAAACTTTGCTTTTATACCACGTTTAATATATAAAAAAACACAACACCGATGACTGACGAAAATGTATAGTTTTGCATGTCGTCAAATCAATTAAAAGATGGGCAGAGTCGAACACGAATAAACAGAGAACACTATATTTTTAAAGTACGTCTACTTAAAAAAAAAGAAACCCCTCAAGAGACACCTACCTCCAGTAATGCAACGCGAAGCCAGGACATTGGTCTCCGCACTTCAGACACGGCGTCCCCTTGTCCATGTCGTGCGTTAGAAAACTCTGAAAATCAAAATAACAAAATTAGAGTTGAGCTTGTGACAGGAATCCGTGTCGTACTGGGTTTCAATCGGCCGGATGTGTGCCGGGAAAGCGTGACATTCCAGCAATGAATGTAGAACATTCGCGTCTCGAATGGTTACGCGATTGCCTCGACTACGAGAAATGTTTACACTTTACCGGAACACGTCTTTGCTTTCCATTTGCGGTAGTCACGGGTTGTGATGACATGAATGCGTCCGATCTCATTCAATTAATGAACGAGTTATGATCCAGTACTAGTTTGATCGAAGAAAACGAGGTTACGTCGTCATCGAGCCGTCATAAAGAGTCAATTCTGTAATTCATCCTCTAATCGCCATGTTGGAAAACACCAAAGTGACCCCAAGACCCAACCCCGTGCGCAGCACGCATATAATTCCGCGGCATGCAGAAAGTAGTTCTCAGCATTAATACACTACTAACGAGTATGAAATCCCATAACGCCCCAGTTATGCTGGGATACATATGCACTTCTCCAAAATTTGACCCAAAACATAGTGGCATCCATTAAAATGGAAAAAAATGACCCTAACTGTACAAATACGCTCATATATATCCGTTAATGAGAAGTAAAGAGGCTTCATTGACCCACCTCTTCTTATGCAAATTACATTTACAACCTGACAAAAGCGCATCACTCACAAATGAATTAGACACAAATACCGACACAAGCTGAGGTATAAATACTATTAAATTAGAAGTGGAATCTTAAACGGATGTGGTCAATATTTCATAGTTTTAATTGGAGTGACAACCTTGCTTACATCCCTGACAGAATATTTTTATCTCACTGTAGATGACATACCACAATGACACTTACATTACAAAAATAAATGGCCCGTGTCCAGCCCCCAAACTGTTGACCTTTAATCTCGACTGGTTTCCCTATTGTGTGGCCACTGTATTGTCAATTCCCCGCCAAATCTGTGCCACGGAAACTGAGATTATTGACATATACCCAAATAGTCATAATTACATGAAAATCGGGAACATTGTTTAGTTTTGAACCAAACTTTTCGAAACTTTACATTAACAAATTTATCAATAAATTGACCCGTAGAGATCTTTTCCACGTAAATGAATCTGTGTTTATAATTTTGTGTGATTAAAAAGTTAGTATATAATTAGTATATAATATTAGGTAGTATATAAATTGTTTTTAACATAGCGATCTTTTTTTAATGTCGTTGTTTACATAGAACAGTTTTCGTATTTGTATGAGTATTGTTATTTTCGCCGGAAAAAATATTGTGATATTATTATTATTATAATAAAGGTGAATAACTCTTCTATATTCATAGACATTATACAGGAATGCTCATCGGATTAACGTCGCGTGTGAGCGACAACCAAAGACACTAGAAAATATAATATTAGTTTGCGTAAACAGTCGAAAGAATATACAAGATAATTAATGATATTATATATGTTCTGCCGATGTTTTGACACTCCTATTTGGTTCAGAAAAAAAATCATAAAAACAATAGGCGATTGTTATGTAACAACGTCAGTGTATTTACACCGTAAGGTACTTCCTGCTTAGTGTGTCTAAGTGTTATGTAAACAGTTTCCTATGTGTTGTGGAAGAGAAAAGAATGGTGACGTCACTAGCATCAAATTAAACAGACGTCAAATGCCCTTCAATGCAAACATGCTATTGTCTTTTTGAACAGGAAGCTAATCCCTATTATGTTTAGACAGAGAAGATGCATCATGGGAGTAATAAAAGCGCATTTGTATTTAAACTTAGTACAAAAGTACATATCATTTTAGTAGTAATTTTAATTGATATATATAATTATAATTATATTTATTATTATTATATTTATTATTATTATTATTATTATTATTATTATTATTATTATTATTATTATTATTATTATTATTATTATTATTATTATTATTATTATTGTTATTATTGTTATTATTATTATTATTATTATATATTTATTATTATGTTTTCAGGACGCAGTCGCTTATAGGCATAAACTTATTACGGTGTTGTCGCCAATGAAACTACTTATTGTCAGTGTTCCACCATCGATTTTATATTTTATTGATTTGACTTAAAAGTCGATTGTGATTCCATCATATCTTCCATAGTGATTCAAAGAGGAATGTGGAAAGTTATTCACGACATAAGTTCAGTTTGGGTTAATAAGCCCCCTAATATTTTTTAAATTCCGTATGCAGATATCCGTATATTAATTGATAGCAAATAAATATACCTCGACCATAGAGAGTGATGCTACACCTTCCACGTCTCGGTGTACTGCACACTCTCATATGCTTCCATCTCGCGCTTCGAGGTGTAATTCAGGAGTGCAATTTAGTCTATAATATGAAGGCAAATACCGCCTGAGCACGAGCGCCCGCTTCGAGCACTAGCACATTGCGAGCACACTTACATATATATATACGATTTGGCGCTGTACGGTAACATTTTATAAACGCGTATCGTACTAGCTGGAATGGCATTGCGATGTGAATCACGCATACGAGAGTAAAATACGAAACATTTCCCGCGATTATTCCCCCATTTTGAAACATTTTGATGACAAACAAACTCCATTGCACATTGTGTTTTTTAGATCGATATGGAACAATCGGGCCTTCCGATGAAAAAATTGCGAGCAGGACTTGCGTGTTTCCGTCACACTCGTAACCAAAAACATGTTTGTCGGAGAATGATACACACTGTATGGAGTTCAAACAACGATTGGTTGCCGGGATAAGACATTAAAAACAACCGCATTGAATGAAATGAAATACACTATAAGTATACTGACGTCATGCGTGATCGGGCTCACCTCTTTCAGAATTGCCGTCGATGTTGGCGCGGATACATCCGAACGATGATGTCCCCGTATTCTGTGGTGCATGGCTGCTTTAAAATCCATTACTAAATTCTAGAATATCGTGGAAATAAGTCCACGGGCGTCGCTGAACATCGTTCACATTGATACAAAGTGCGATGGCGGAAATTTTCGTCCTTTTTGTTAGTACAACTGTCGTATCGTTTTGCATGTGAATAACACAGGGACGAGCGCTGCTGATTGGTCAACGGGTGATGAAATGGCGATGTATCTTTTGTGATCGTGGATTGTAAAGGAGATGGAAGCGCTATGATACCTTGTTGATATTGATACGTCTGTGCGTGGTTTAACGAGACTTTTATTGCGATTGAACGCAAATAACTTAACGGCGTGTGTTTATTTTTCAACAAGTTCAAGGTCCCGCCTCGTTTCGCATAATTGAAAAAGGCGAGTAATTGTTAAATTTATACAGCGCGCTGAAACCAAGACACTAATGTCTTTGCTGGAACCCAGCAACATCGACCGGATCGTAAATACGGGCTTCAAGGAACACGCCCACATACTACTTGGAAACATTATACTTGTTTACCGTACTGGCTAGATTATATTCTGCGAATGGATGTCAATTGCTGTCAACTCGTATATTATCGTATAACTATAATTATGTTTTTTTTTTACTGGCAACACTTGGTGTATATATATATATAACATAATAGGCAAACAAGTAAAGGTACGATGTGAAACCTGACGTAGAGGGCAATATTCACGACACAAACGAAACTTGTTAGCCACCTGTTGCTATACGTGTACATGTATATGTGTGTGAAGGCACACGTGGGTTGTTGTAAAGCGCCTCTGAAGCTAACCCTTTTTATCTGTACATTCTTAGAATACAACCAAAAAAATGCGATTAATTTCAATGGCGGTAAATATTACGAAGGTGTTTTTTCTTGATTCAAAACTAGTTCCAAGATTAAAGAATTTGCCATTAGGTTATTGTCAATAATTTATTTAGTTGAATTGCCCAACAATGTCGATGTGCATGATGTTTGTTACGCCGAACTTTGAACTTTTTTAAAGTTTGCTCCATAAATAAGTGTTTTTTCTTTACGTGAAAATAAGCACTGGTTACCGAGGATTATTAAATAAAAGTGCCGTCCAATTAAATTTTGTTACTGAAGTAAACATAATCGGTATATATATACCATGATAAGATACTATCCAAATTTTACAAGCAATATTTCACCCCTTAAAATTATAATGCGTTATTTGTTTTGATTAACTTTTGGAAATATCATGCTTTAAAATATCACATTTGTTACCACCAACAGGTACAGTGCCTCTTTTAATCAAAAGTACCAGAAAATCATAATCGCCAAAAAGTGTTCAAGCCATGAAAAATTGCTAATTCTGGTAGAAAACGTCTCTTGTAATTCATAATCCATGTCCCCCCCCAAAAAAAAACTGAGAAGAGTACTAGTATACATTTCGCAGAATTGTTCGAGAGAGGGTATCCAAATTCGTATTTTGGTCAAGTTTAAAATGTCTCCGGAATCTTAAAACTATTTAACTTGTGTGAGAATCCGTGCCCATTTGTAAATATTATTGGCCGATAGCCTTCGATTGAATAAAAACACACACAGCACATGAACAAATATGAGACATTCCTTCAAGTTTGTGAATGATTATAAATTTGATTATTGATTGATTGATTGGAAGATAGATATGACTAATATACGCTTTTCCCAGATACATTATAAATATAATTTCACTTTATTAAAGGAAAATAAATTATAATTTACAGTACAAAACAAACGAATTATTTTTTATGGACATTATATCTAGACCGGAGAGTAATATATACCATATTTTATATCGTCTGCGGTAGAATGGTATTTCGTGTCAAAGGTCAAATGAGTGCAAAGTACAAAGAAGGTGTGCGTATAAGGATGTGATTGTACAGTCGCTAGTTGCAAAATAGTTCGAATCTTCGCATTAAGGTAACATCAAACATTATTTTCTGTACGATTATTCGAGTACACTGGTTATCGTAAACTTCGGGTTGTCTTTTGTTTGTCTTATTCAACAACAATCCGGAGTGAACATTGTTTTGAGTTTTATATGTCTTCACCAACTGCTACGTAGTGGTGTCGTTAATTACAATCCAAGCCACTTGTCACCCAAATAAGACATTTTACCGTATAGACTGAAATATTTCCCACAGGGCTAGTTCAGTTCAGCGCCAATTTCCACACTTGACAGAAATTGCGGTCGAAATCGGTCCGGGAGTGACAACTCACGGTTTAATTTTTGTACGTTTATTAGCCACTATTGTATTACAGGGTTGTAGGCTCCGTCCATCTGTCAGAGCTGGCAGTGACAACTGTATATGACCCCGGGACATGACCCATGTATAAATGGAAGTGGGCGACTTTATTCAGGAACTCTGATTTAGAAGTGCGCCCTCAAACCAGAAATTGGGCACCCTCTTCTTCTTTCGGTTACGGTTTGTTTTGATTTCAAGCATCAATATTTACTACTCCTTGATAGTATTTTTTTTTTCAAAATTCTTCCTTATGCTGCGCAAAATTTTGGAAGAATATATTGTCACTATCATATGCGCAAAAATATGCGCACAAATCCAAAAATCTTAAGTACCACGTTTCTGTCCGTTACATAAAATTATCAGAGTGAAAAGCAAACTATTCCAATTATGTATATAAGTAGTTGTTCTATTTGTCTTTAATTAGATACTTGTCCTTATTTGATTCATTTTCAAACTGATCTCACCACTTACCTTACGATATATATATTACCAACCTGCGGAAACTATTCTACATTTTATTAAACAAGAAAGTTTTATTCCATTCTCTAGCAAAATGGCGATGAAAATGACGATGGCCAAATTACCGGACATTCTCCCTCGTTTGGGGAAATGGATGCCTGCAAGCGGTCATGTCTACTGGATGATCAAAAATAGTTTAAAAACAAACAATACATGGCCTTGCATCGATATATACACCGATACGTTTGATGTTGCCAAGTGTACGACGGTACTGGGAATATCACGTGACTATTACTCTTCTCCCTTGACAACGTGTTTTGCTTTTTCAACTGACAATACGAGCTTTAAAACGTTGCTAAATACGCCTGGTCTGTTAGACTGGAAACAGGACCGAATAATCTTTGAAGGAATAGCCAAAGCAAGTATAGACTCTGTAACCGAGACGTGTGTTCAGAATAGCTTCCAACCGACTGTGGTCGACATGTGCCAGTTGTTGTCCCTGCACGACAAAAGGAAATTGGAGAGAGCCGCAAACGCTGTCCTCCCTGATGGTTTCAGGAAGGGGCCTTTACTACCCAGACACGTTTCACTGTTAACGAGCCACTGGACGCACGATTTCCCTCATCCTCGGCTTTGGGAGACACTTAAATACTGTTCATCAGCGGCGATATACAACCCCGCCAATCAGCCAGTGGCGTGGGGAGTACACACGGAGATGGGGGACATGGGAATGGGTTACTGCGAACCAGCGTATCGTAGAAATGGGTTCGCCTCCATCATCATGGGAACACTTGCCATGGAAATAACAAATAAAAAAGAAATACCCTATTTTTATTTTAAACTTACAAACACTGTATTCGAGAAAGGCGCTGAGAAATTGGGATGCAAAAAACACAAAGATTTAGTGGCGTGGGTGATGTTTGAAAAATAATGTTTCAATATTGTTCATGATGATCAAAAAATATCATTATAATACCAAGGATTTATATTTCGTATGTATACACACCTTTTCCGTTTTTGTAAGTACATGTACGACTAATACAGTATATGCATTAATGTAGTACAAGCTAGCCTCAATTGATGGACGACATATTGATACGTTTATGCTTGGGACATATGTTAGCAGAGGCGGCGGCACGAGTTTTTGCATGAGGGGCGAGATCCAAAATCTAGACATTCTGAAACGCTATTTCCTGTATTTTGAGGGGCAAATTTTGCTGACACAAAAAGTTTCAGTTTGATTTAGGGGAGCGCCATTTTTTTCGGGTGGGCGACGCCCCCCTCTGCTCTCCGGTGCCGCCGCCACTGTGTAACATAGGTACAGACTACACCGCATTTGTCCAATCACCTGCCCTACGCTGTATTGTTTGTATTATACAATGATGTATGTATTATAGTTGCAATATTATCGTCAATATTTATTATGTTACTATCATTTTTTTTCGCACACTGTGACTGAAACCTATGTTCGAGGTCACTTGTTTTCAAATGCATTTCTGAAGATTGGTACTATGCACATGTTATGTACATGTCACGTTAGCTCTAAATGTTAATTTCATTTGAGCGAGTTTACGTATAATCTAATTGAGATGCTATGTTATTCGTGTAATATGTATGCTGAGTAGAGTAGACTTGCTTGTCTCTTGTTTGTTTTTTGAATAAAATAAAATATTATTTGAGCTAAATGGCGATTGTTAACGCCATCCATACACTCACATAATATTTTCCGGATGTTAGAGCAGCTATAAAAACAACAACTTCGAAACGCATAATTCATTTCAATACAATATATTTCCGAAAATATATACGGTATATAAAAAAAAATCAGTCATATCAATGACAGACAGTTTTGACCGATTCATAGATTACATGTCCATAATAATCTAAAGTTTCAACAGAGTGAAGTTGCAAGTCTGTTAAAGTGCTTCATGTTTTCTACATAAGTTCTTTATTTTTTCGGTATGTAATTTTTCAATTTTTATTTTCAAAAAATAAAGTCACCTAGTTATGCATTCTGTCCATGATTAACCCAAAGATAGACGGATTGTAAATTGCTACGACCAAATTATTCATTCTGAAATGTACAATACCTACACATGTACTCAATTGCGGGAAGACTACATCTCTTGGTTGCACTCAGGCAGTTAAAATAATTAAATTACATACCCTCGCATATCCATCCACTCATCACATGGAAAATAATAAAAAAATAATCTCATCATTGATTGAAACGTCTATGGATATTTATCACTAATTCCTAAACACACATCACAAAGTATTGTAAAATACGTTATTTTCGCGGAAAAAATTTTGGCTGTTTTGTATGAAGGTTGTTTTTAACGAATTTTGAAAATAGAAAATAGAAAAAAATACATTTTCATTGGATTTAATTTTTATTGATTCATCCCTTCATCGAGAATAAACAATCAATAAAGAATAAAATAAAGGCTTCATTCAGAGTCGAATGTACAATGCCAGGTCAGTCACAGCGCCCTCACTCAGCGAAGACATCAAGCAACTGCTGCAGCTTATTATGAATTACAGTATACATGTGTATTTTACTTTTATGAAAAATAACAAAGAACCAAAATAATGTGGGTAAAAATGAAGGACATCGAACCAATTACGATATAAATGCTGCAAGTAAAGTTGTAAAAAACCAGGATGTAGCTGATTGTTACACAGTGACAAAAAATTACAATTCCTTTAACTAAGTGCGAAAGCAATTGCAACCACCACTTGTACCCAGTAATTAAAAATACACACATCAACTCGTTGTTTTATTTGTATACATGTATTTTTATTGAATTATTAAAACTTGGAAGAGTGTATATTTTTGGAATTAATGTCGTCAACAGACGCGGACATTTTACAACGTTCAGCCGCATTAACCAATGAGCGTACACCATGTTTCTGTCAATTATTATTCCATTGCACAGATTTGTAAATATTATTGGCTGATAACCTTGGATTAAATAAGGACCTACAAAGCACATGGACAAATAGGAAACATTCCTTCAAGTTTTTGAATGAGCATAAACTTGATTGATTGATTGATTGATTGATTGATTGATTGATTGATTGATTGGAAGATAGATATGACTAATATATGCTTTCCCCAGATACATTATCAATGTAATTTCACTTTATTAAAGGTAAATAAACTATTATTTACAGTACATTGTATATTCTATACCGGAGAGTAATATATACCATATTGTATATCCTCTACGGTGGAATAGTATTTCGTGTCAAAGGTCAAATGAGTGCAAAGTACAGCATGAAACCAAAGAAGGTTTGCGTATAAGGATGTGATTGTACAGTCGCTAGTTGCAAAATAGTCCGGGACTCCGAGTCTTCGCATTAAGGTAACATCGAACATTATTTTCTGTACGATTATTCGAAAATTTAAAATGAGTACACGGGTTATCGTAAACTTCAAGTTGTCTTTTGTTTGTCTTATTCAAAGTCAATCCGGGGTGAACACCGTTCTGAGTTTTATAGGTCATCACCAACAGCTACGTAGTGGTGTCGTTAAGTACAGCCAAAGTCACTTGTCACCCAAATAGGCTGGTTCAGTTCAGTTCAGCGCCAATTTCCGCACTTGAAATTGCGGTCGAAATCGGTCCGGGAGTGACAACTCACGGTTTAATTTTTGTACGTTTATTAGCCACTATTGTATTACAGGGTTGTATGCTTCGTCCATCTGTCAGAGCTGGCAGTGACAACTGTACATGACCCCGGGACATGACCCATGTATAAATGGAAGTGGGCGACTTTATTCAAGAACTCTGGTTTAGAAGTGCGCCCTCAAACCAAAAATTTGACACCCTCTACTTCTTTTCTCTTATAACGGTTTGTTTTGATTTCAAGCATCAATGCTGATAAGTGTATTTAAATTGGTGTAAAATATATATTATATGCCACAATTTTAGGATACAATATACTGACAGTTTTCAGTAAGACAATGCATCAATTCGTGCTTATAGAGCAAGTACAATATTTACTACTCCTTGATAGTATTTTTTTTCTTCCTTATGCTGCGCAAAATTTTGGAAGAATATATTGTCACTATCATATGCGCAAAAATATGCGCATGATTCCAAAAGTATTAATCTTAAGTACCACGTTTCTGTCCGTTACATAAAAGTATCAGAGTGAAAAACAAACAAACTATTCTAATTATGTAAGTAACTCAACAACAAGAAGTTGTTCAGACCTTTTTCACATTCTATCTATATTTAATTAGTTACTTGTCCTTATTTGATTCATTTTCCAACTGATCTCACCACTTACCTCACGATATATATATTACCAACCTGCGGAAACTGTTCTACATTTTATTAAACAAGAAAGTTTTATTCCATTCTCCAGCAAAATGGCGATGAAAATGACGATGGCCAAATTACCAGACATTCTCCCTCGTTTGGGGGAATGGATGCCTGCAAGCGGTCATGTCTACTGGATGATCAAAAATAGTTTAACAACAAACAATGCATGGCCTTGCATCCAGGTATACACAGATACGTTTGATGTTGCCAAGTGTACGACGGTACTGGGAGTATCACGTGACTATTGTTCGTCTCCCTTGACAACGTGTTTTGTTTTTTCAACTGACTATAGGAGCCTTAACACATTGCTAAATATGCCCGGTCTGTTAAACTGCAAACAGGACCGAATAATTTTTAAAGGAATAGCCAAAGTAAGTATGGACATTGTAACCGAGACGTGTGTTAAGAATGGCTTCCAACCGACTGTGCTCGAAATGCGTCAGTTGTTTTCCCTGCACGACAAAAGGAAGTTGGAGAGAGCCGCAAACGCTGTCCTCCCTGATGGTTTCAGGAAGGGGCCTTTACTACCCAAACACGTTTCACTGTTAACGAGCCACTGGACGCACGATTTTCCTCATCCTCGGCTTTCGGAGACACTTAAATACTGTTCATCAGCGGCGATATACAACCCCGCCAATCAGCCAGTGGCGTGGGGAGTACACACGGAGATGGGGGACATTGGAATGGGTTACTGCGAACCAGCGTATCGTAGAAATGGGTTCGTCTCCATCATCGTGGGAACACTTGCCATGGAAATAACAAATAAGAAGGAAATACCTTATTTTTATTTTAAACTTACAAACACTGTATTCGAGGAAGGCGCTGAGAAATTGGGATGCAAAAAACACAAAGATTTAGTGGCGTGGGTGATGTTTGAAAAATAATGTTTCAATATTGTTCATGATGATCAAAAAATATCATTATAATACCAAGGATTTATATTTTGTATGTATACACACCTTTTCCGTTTTTGTAAGTACATGTACGACTAATACAGTATATGCATTAATGTAGTACAAGCTAGCCTCAATTGATGGACGACTTATTGATACGTTTATGCCAGGGACATATGTTAGCAGAGGCGGCGGCACGACATTTTGCATGAGGGGCGAGATCCAAAATCTAGACCCTCTGAAACGCTATTTCCTGTATTTTGAAGGGCAAATTTTGCTGACACAAAGGGTTTCAGTTTGATTTGGGGGGAGCGACATTGATTGGAAGATAGATATGACTAATATAAGTTTTCCCCAGATACATTATCAATGTAATTTCACTTTATTAAAGATAAATAAACTATAATTTACAGTACAAAACAAACGAATTATTTTTTATGGATATTGTATATTCTATACCGGAGAGTAATATATACCATATTGTATATCCTCTACGGTGGAATGGTATTTCGTGTCAAAGGTCAAATGAGTGCAAAGTACAGCATGAAAGCAAAGAAGGTTTGCGTATAAGGATGTGATTGTACAGTCGCTAGTTGCAAAATAGTCCGGGACTCCGAGTCTTCGCATTAAGGTAACATCGAACATTATTTTCTGTACGATTATTCGAAATTTTAAAATGAATACACGGGTTTATCGTAAACTTCAAG